TAAATGGGGGAGGGCGTTGGACCCGATGGCCCTCTGGCCCCTTCCCGCTCGGCCGTCCTAGGATTCTGCGCTTCCGTGAGTTGGTTTTCCTGCTTCTCAAGCCCCATTCCAGGCGCCGAGTGCCGCCTGCGAAGCCGCGTGCCCCGTGGTCTCGGTGCAGCAGAAGGACTTCTGCCCCCGAACGATTCTCGCCTCCCTGTTGAGCAATGCTCCGGCAATCCTGCTTCTGAGGCACGTGGGGTGAGGCTGCAGGATTCGGCCTTCCTGGAGGCATCGCCGTGCTGTGCAACTGCTCGCCTTTGGGAGACTCGGGCAGCGCCCCCCGCGGGCCCCCCCACGACGACTGGCCTTCTGACGCTCGCTGGTCCGGAGCGTGTTTGCGGCACTGCCATGTTTAACGTTGCTCCTTTGGAAGCCACCGTTTTGCCCCCCTTTGATTTTGACTCTTGCTCTTTGCCCCTTCCCCTCCCCACCAGCACCTGCCCCACTTAGTTTCTTCCCGTGGGCCACCTGCCTGGGCCAAGACTGTCGCTCTTGAGCACCAAACCCGGCTCCCCATCCGTCCTTCTGGAATCCCATTTCAGAAGCGCTCTCAAGGGCACGTTCCCATGCTGGGCAGGGCCAAAACAGCCGACATATACAGGTTTCCAGCTCTTACCGCCAGGTGCTAAACCTCAGGAGAGGCCTTGAAACCTTTCCGGATGGGGGATCCAGGGGGAAGAGGGCATGACCCTGGCACTGTCCAGGTTTGTTCCACAGGGACGAGGCTCAACGGCCTCGTGTAGGGCTTTTCCGGCCTCGAGGTTTCTTAAAATCAGACAGGCTGCATGACGAGAATGAGGACTGGCCCCCCTTGCTCTTCTGTACCTCCAGAATCTGGACTCAAGGGTGCGTCCTTTTCAAAAATAGCGGTGGAGCTTTGACCAGCCTCCCTCTCCAGGGAGAGCATGTGGGAGGGACCCCAGTACCTTGAACTGCTTGCCTTGGGGGAAAGATCCTGGATATTAAAAGAAAAAACTATTTCAGTGAAAGGGCAAGGAGGACGAAGCCGGCTCCCTCGAGTGCCATCAGTACTCCTCTCCATTTAAATGCTAATTCTGACCTCTAACCTAGGACCCGTCTGCATAAGCAAAGCAAAGCAAAACGAACCAAAGGAAAAAATTGTTTCCAAAGGTGGCCAGGGGAATTCCTGATTGAATCCTTGATCTGGCTCAGATTTGATTTCTTCTCAAGGGAAAAATCTTTGCATTTAATACCGGCGAAGAAGTAGCTCCTCAGCAGAAAAGCCGTCCACGGTTTTTTACCTTTGCCTCTCCATTCCGGCTCACGCTCTGTTTGTTTCATGCGCCTCAGAAATACAGTGCTCTTACACTCCCGCTGTCTTTACTCTCCCACACCTGCTCAAAGGGAAGACTGCAGGCTCCTTGGGGCAGGGACACCTCTCTCTCGCCTGGGTTGGTTTGCAGAGCGCCGTGCCTAGGAATTCGCTCAGTAAATGAGAAGTAAAATGAGGTTCCCATGCATTAGAGCCATTCATCTGAAATGGATCTGCGTAACCCTGACCTACTTGGCTTTCCTTTATTTTTCCTCATGTACCTAAGGGTGTAAAAACCCTCCCAAACAAATTCAGTTACTCTTGAATAACTATTATTTGGTACTGAGGGGGAAAGAGGAATCTTGCATGTTAGGATCTGGGTATCTCCAAGCCTTGGTCTCATTTATTCGGCTTTTTAAGGAACTTCTGTGGGAGCTTACCCATACCGTTTTCTCTTGAAGATGTTCTGTCTGACCAAAGGAATACTGGCCATTAAAATGTTCTGCAACCCTATTATTTTACCTATGATCTACCAAAATTTGGTTTTCTCCTATAAAAAAACATTTTTGACTTGTATTGTGACATATATTCGTTTCTGCTCTTCTGAAAACATACTATTCTGAATCTCTCGTGCTCTGTATTGTCAGAATCCTGGAATCTCAATTTTGAGAAGAGGGAATAGAAAACATAGAAAACAGAGCGAGTCAGAAGGGGCCTCCCGGGCCATCTAGTCTGACCTCCGGCACCAGCTGGCTCCGCTGGAATAAAACTTGGGTTCGTGGGAAAGACCAAGCGTCCAGACCATCTGAGGCGTTATTGTTTTTCCCAGGTTCCCCGCTGGTGCGTACTCACGATAATGCATTACTGGTCAGGCAGAGGTGAACCCTGCTGCAAAACTTCAACACAACTGGAGAGTTTTTATACACTCCTAGTCACATTCAGGTACAGGGCAATTGATGACAGAATGTAGACATTACAGTAAGGTTCTGAGGTCAGCACATACAGAACAGATAAAGGAATGCCAGTCAATCACACTGTAACAATAAGATTACAGTATTTCTAATTGCCTGTATTGACACTTTAGTTCAGTAGCTTGAACCCATCTCCAGGTCTGATTAGACATGCAATTTGAGCTACTGAGACTACGCATGAACTCAAGACTCTTATCTACTCTAGACATTCTGAATTGGCCGGGGGACATGGAGCCTCTGGGCTATCAAAAGGTACTCCCTTGCAAACTGAATTCCAACAATGACTATTTACAATGGATATTTGGGCTAAAATGGCCTGTCTGCTGTAGCCCACAGCCAAAGGTGAGAGAAAGGAGTGGGGGATGAATGCCATTTTGAACAGTGGCAGCTTGGTTTTGAGAAGGAAGACAGGATTTGATCCCACAATGCAAAGGCACGCAGGAGTAATGCTTTTCAGACAGGATTTATCCAAATTTTCCCAACAGTACCAGAATTAGTGGCGGAGTGTTAGCTCTGCTCTGCACCCTTTTCTTTCTTAGGAAGATGGGACCACCCTGGGCTGGTCCTTGATGGTCGTGCCTCCGTCTGGCAAAAACAAACCGCACGGCAGGGGAGGCTGTGGCGTGGCAGATGAGCTTGCGTTCCCAGCTCTCCCGAGCGCCAGCCGGCATGGCCATTGCCGGGGACGATGGGGGTTGCGAGCCAGCATCTGGAGGCCACCTCTTCCCCACCCCTGCTGGGCATGGCCTCGGGTCGTTCCCATCGCCTGCTCCTTGACCCGTCCAACAGGACGCCTTCAGGCAGGAGTCACGGTGCCTGCAGCCCCTTCCTGTGCGCCCCCCGTCACAGGGGGGGTCCCTGGGAAGGAGGAGCCCACAAGGGCAGGAGGAGCCGCACGGGCATCCTCCGCTCCGGCTGCTTCCCTCTCCCCCCGCTGGATCAGAATCCCCCGGGAGAGACCAGCAGGACTTCCTCCAGCAGCGTGGGGCACTCCGCCGTACCCCCGGGCCTGCTCCTCTGCAGAAGGGGGCCGCAGAGGTGCCGGAAAGCTGCCACGTGGGCTGCGCTGCATGCTCCGGCGGCCCCGTGCCCCACAGGCGGCCCGCTGACACACCCCGGGCACAGATCCTCTCTCGGTGGCCTGCCGAGGCACCCCTGCTTTTCCACCCTGTGGCCCGCCTAAGCCCTGCCATGTTTTCCCCAGAGCACGTGAGCATTTGCGGAAGCCACGCTGCACAGGGCGGCGCAAGGAGACGCTGAGCCCGAAGAAATGATCGGGAGAGGCGAGCGGTGCCCATGGATGCTGTCCCGTGGGTCTCTGGGCCCACGCCGTTGGGCAGATGAGAGGGCAAGCCAGCATGTCAGGCACACCCAGAGCTGCCCACCCATGGCGGTGGGGCTGTTCCCCTTGCCCTGACCCTCTCAGACCTCCTTTAGGGAGTATGGAAGTTTTTGGGGTCCCACCAGCGGTCTGGAAGGATGCGGCTCCACGGCGGCTCTCCACGCAGTCCTGCCAGTCGAACGCAGCGCCGAGGCCGAGAGAGGCAGCGGGGGGGGGGGGGCGCTGGGTGCTTCCATCAGGTCGTGCCACCTGGCAGGACGCATCTCCCCGGCTCCTCATAAAAGTGGATTAAAAACACACGTGCACACGCACACGCAACAGAGTTCTAATGGCTGGCGGCAAAAACTATAGTGAGGGAAGGCAGGCCAGCGAAGTGGCGAATTCCACTCACTCGTCCGTATTTCATTATTTGATAACATCAGGGCGACAAGCCCATCAGGACCGCTTCGGCAAAAGCAAACAGGAAGCACGCCTGATCAATATTTATTAAAACTTTCCTACGGCGGGGGCGGCCGAGGCTGAGCCGGGCCGCTAATCGAGGGGGTGATCCCACCTGCTCGTGCCAGCCGGCCAGAGGCAACAAGAGGCCAGAGGAGGCAGCTTTTTTAATTGCACGGAATTAAAAATCCAGGCCTCTCTCTCCTCCCTGCACACCTCTTCCCTTGATCATAATTGCTTGTTTTAATTTAAAACATCTGATCCTCCGGTATGGGGCGAATAAATCCCCAAAGCGGCATGTTCTAGGTAGAGACGCGTTCCGCCTGTTGCGTGGCGGTGCAGCCATGATCGGCCCCTCCTGGGAGCCCCCCGGGGTCTGCGTCACGCAGGACCGATCCCCGTGGGTTGTGCAGCCTGCCCTTCTTTTCAGGCCGGTGCTGCTGGCGGGGGGGGGGTGGGCGGCTGTTCATGCAGGCGAGAGGCCCCAGCGGCCCCCTTCCAAACTCATCTAGAAGCCAAACCTTCCGTAAGATGGTGCCCGCTTTAATCTTCTCCCTCTGACCATTTATTTTGATCTTATCTATCCACCCGTCTTTTTCCGGACGGATGGATAGATAAGAGAGGTGGATAGATGGGCTTCCACGGGAGGTGGCTGAGGCCCCGTCGGTGAGGTTGTTCCAGGGTAGGCTGGACATGCACGTGGTGGGCATGTCGTGAGCGGAGCCGGCTGGAGCCGGGGGTCAGACTAGATGGCCCCGGAGGCCCCTTCTGACTCGCTCTGTGTCTGTGCCTCCATGCTTCCTGGACTGCCACGTGTCCCATAGGCCCTCCCGCATCCGTCCAGGTGAGCGTGGTGTGCAGATCCCGTTCCGCGCAGGGAAAACGGAGGCAGGGCCGCTGACGCGAGCGCGGGCGATGCTGCTTTGCCTTGCAGGCAGTACTACGAGATGCTGTACAACACGGCCGACGAGCTGCTGAAGCTGGTGGTGGACCAGGGCGTGAAGTACACGGAGCTGGAGTACATCTACGCCCTGAGCCTCCTGCACCGCAGCCAGACGGGCGTCGGAGACCAGACCACCCAGAACGTGAGGCTGCAGCGCCTGAAGGACATCATCTGCGAGCAGGCGGTCATCAAGCAGGCCACCAAGGACAAGAAAATCACGACCGTTTAGCTGGGCAGGCCTGTCCGCCCGCGGAGGGAGACGGTGGGGGGGGGGTGCTGTTTCCGCCTGCCTCGCAAGCTTTACGCTTCATTACAGATAAGAATTGTATTGTTCTGGGAAGTGATTGTATTATTCAAGCAAAGGGAGGGATATGGCCAAATGCCCTTTTCGGTAAAGCTTCTCTGATGTGGGGGGGAGTTGGCAGGCGGGGAGGGGTTGGAGATCATTTCTTTGGCGAGAGGGGCTTCCTAAATGTTCGTCCCCAAGCTGAAATTGAGTGCAAATGGCTGGTGAGGATGGGTTTCCTTAGCTGGATGAGAGGCGGAGAACAGGAAAAGAGGAGAGACGGGCCCTTCCTTCAATCCTGTGGAATGGAGAGAAACCAGGGGACGATTTCAGGCCAGAGTTGAATTCTAGCTGGGAAAACGCGGGGATCCGGCATGGCTGTGCTTCCAGCCCTTCCCCAGTTCACAGAGAGCAATGTGCCAACTCACCTTTCTTTCCAAGTGTCTTTGCTTTCCCAGGTAAAAGCTGGTTATGGGCACGTCCACCATCTTGAACGGTATTGGATTGGTTCATCTGGGAAACTGGTTAAAATCCTGCCAGAAAGGGGAGAAGGGCAGAGAAGGTGGGGGCAGGGAGGAGAGACCACAGTGCCCCCCCCCCCCCCAGTGCATGCAGGCAGCCCCCTACTAAGTAGCAATTTGCCACAGTATGCAGCTTCCTTGGCCAGACCAAACAATGAGAACGCCGCCACTCCTACAGTTCTCCAATTTCTTGTGAAAAGATTTGCTTTACTGCTTGGCAGAGACGCTGGAGCTGGCTGTGCATATGCCCGTCCATGCATGCAGTGGAAAGCTGTCCCTTAGGGATCGGTCTTCGGGTCCAGGACTGCTTTCTTGGAGATGCCAGGACAGATTTCACGGAGGCCATTCCCGAGTGTGGGAATGGGCCGCCCCCGGAAGGAGCGGGGAGGCCTGTGGCCGCTCCTCTCCCCACTCCAAAGACAGGCCTCGGGTGTCGTTGACTGGCTTTCACGCTGACCACCACGGGCTCCCTTCGCATCGCAGCAGCCCGGAGAGGTCGCGCTGGCGCATGCTGGACCCCTGACCACCCTCTCAGCTGGTCACCCTGCCATGCGGGTCCCCACGTGGCTGGACGGGGTGGCGATGAAACCACTGCGAACTGGCAGTCTCCCAGCTGTCCCTCGAGGGGGAGACGCCCCCGGCACAAAGGAGGCGCGAGCACAAGAGGGGTGAAGCCGCCGTGTGGTGGTGGATGCTCCCTGGACTCCCTGCCCCTTTCCCTCCCACTGGGCTGGGCTGGGCTGCACTGCAGCGGCCTGCGTTCCTCAATGGGTCAGGGAAGCTGTGCGGGAGCCGCCTCTCAGCTCTCCGCGGCCCCATCTGGCACAGATCCTCTCCTGACCATGCCACCTGCTGGCCACCCCCAGAAAGGCCTGAATCCGCCGGGACCTCCCCTCCCCAGAGTGCTTCCCTCCCTTCCCTTTTGGAGCCCAGTGACTTCGGCTGCTGCACTATAAACCTGTTCAAAGTAGCTGCGCAGGGCCTGGGCCTGGCAGCAGCCTTTGCCCCCCACGCCGTCCGGGACAGTCCCTGCCAAGCTCTCTGCTACACGGAGCCTCCGCCCGCGGCTTCCAGTGGGAAACACCCTTCCTGGCCCAGTTTCCTGTCCTGCTTGTGCTGCTTTCCTCATGGTTTGACTGGAAAATTAAAGGCTCATTTTGGAACCATTCATTACTGTACTGTGGTCTGCTTGGATGCACCGGTGCGTTGAGGTTAATTCAGCATCTTCCCGTGGAGGGACTTGGAAGAAGGCATCGCAGCACGGGAGGCACGGGATGGAGAAAGGCCGGGCACCCGAAGGCCTCCGTGTTCGTGATGGCCCTGAGCTGCTCGTACGGGGGCCAAACATAAGCCCCCCCCCCACAAAGGTCCTGCAGCCACCCATGGGGGAGCCGCTCGGACCCACCTTTGGCAACCGAGTGTGGAATTAGAGGATGCAAAGCAACGGAGGCATTTTCCATCCCGGGCATCTCTTGCAGATGCTTGCAGAGGGGAGCTGGCAGGCGGGGGTACGTCTCTCCCCCTGTCGCCCCGTTCTCCTGTGCAAGTGCCAGAACACCATTTAGTTGCCCTCCCACCTTAAGCAGGAAAGCCAGAAACCAAAAGGAAGTTTTCCCAGGCCGGCTGGGGGGTTGCCTGGGGGAGAAGTATCCACACGCACAGGGCACCGGGGGGGGGGGGCTGGCAGGTCTCACTCCTGCTCTGTGATCCTCTGGACCAGAGCACCCTGTCCTCCGTTGTGGGGCGCGTGCCTGTGAGGACGGGGCAGCTGGTTGTATCGGACCAAGCACGGAGGCCGCTGGAGGATGATGGGAGTGCTGTCCCCATCGCTCCAGTGCCGCGACTCTCTTTGGGCTTGCTTTGGCCAGCCAAGCCCATCGTGCATGGAAAGGGCCGCCAGGTGAGGTGGGCCTCCGGGATCCTCGTCCTGCCCACGGTCTGCGACTGGCAGGGCTTCCGTGCCTGCATTTTCTGTGCCATCAAGGAATCCTCGCTGAGACACCTGGAAGAGGACAACAATGCACCAGCCAGCGGCGGCTTTTTGCTATTAGAAAGCCCGATTTAAGGTTCATTCAAGAACAAGCAGGGCAACTCTCTGATTGAGCATCTGATGATTTGCCAGAGGTATTTTGCTGTACCGCTCAGGGCAGGAAATCACAAATGCTCGCATCCAAAACCCTAACAAGCCAATCTTCCGCCTTGATTGCCACTTGCTCCACCGATGAAGAGAGTGAACTGTGAGCACGGATGCGCCGAACATCCTCATAAATTGCCACTGATGAAAAACAAATTCGATGATTATGCCCGGGCAACAAGCTGCCTGAATTGGGTTTCTTGCCGCGTGCTCGCCTCCCTCCCAGCCTGGCTCAGTCGGAGCGAAGCAGCAAGGGAAGGGGGAACGAACGAATGAACATCCGCGCTGGAAGCCCACGGGGGACCTGGGCATATCCGCCCTCTGTCCCTTTGTTTCCAGGCTCCCAGGATGAGTGGCATGCTGCACCCAGATGTGGAAGTTCTGGCTCAGTCCTTCGCTCGCCATATACCTCAGTAAGGACTGGCTCCATGAGATGTGTTGAATCCATGGCTGGATCTGCCCATAAGCCTTTTCTCATTTCCTAAAAGTAGCTCTGGGGGGGGGGGGGGGGGTACACACACACACACACACACACTTCAGGTCAGGACCACAGAATCCTGCCACAGCAATTCCTTTTTTAAATGGGTTTATGCTTTGCATATTGTTTACATGAAAATATTATCTGCAAACCATATAAACACTGAATTACTATCAACCTGTTACGTCAAACAGTGGAAAATACATAATACTACATATATATATGAATTTATCTTAAATACAAAATTAAGGTACATAACACGATGCTTCCATGCACCAATGAAGCAGGCAGAAATATACATTTTTAAGCCATAATTGTTTCTCCAATATTCAATACAAGTTTTCCATTCCTCCATAAATTTGGGATCCTTCTGTCTATCATTTATTTATTTATTTATTCATTCATTCATTCATTCATTTATTTATTAAAACATTTTTATGCCGCCCCATTCGCCGAAGCCTCGGGGCGGCTTACAACATAGATAAAACAAGTTAAAATCCATATAAAATAATCTTAATTAAAACACACATTATAAAATAAGCCGCCCTGGCCAGATAAAATTCAATTGTATTTAGCATTTAAAATGTTGCTTAAATAAAAAGGTCTTAGCCTGGCGCCGAAAAACAAATAACGACGGCGCCAGGCGGACCTCTCTGGGGAGCGCATTCCATAACTTAGGCGCCACCGCTGAGAAAGCCCTTCTCCGAGTAGCCACCCTCCTAATTTCTCTCACGGAGGGCTCCCGGAGAAGGGCCTCTCCCGCCGATCTCAGGGGGCGACTGGGCAAATATGGATGTAAGCGCTCCTTCAGGTAACCAGGACCCAAGCCGTTTAGGGCTTTATAGGTCATTACCAACACCTTGAATTGGGCCCGGACTTCAATAGGGAGCCAGTGAAGCTGACTGGCTTCATCTCCTAATATAACTACTTCACTAATGTCCAATAATTGTAGGATTTGCCTATTTTCGCAAAACATTTCTACAAGTAATTGGTTTTGCATTCTGTTACTTCCTGACAATAATAATTGTTGCTGCCATTAGCAAAATAAGTTTCATTTATTGTTGGGATCTAATACTGAGAAGCCTCCAACAGAATTAAAGAACAAGAAAAAGTTATTTCCTAGCTCCAGTTTTGTGGGGGTGGTGGAGGAAGTTGGCATTGTGCGCTGACGCCAGCCTGCCCGCCCCCAGGCCAAGCAGCAGCAAAAGCCTGGGCAACTTTGAATGTTTCTACATAAGGCTGTTAATCAGCTTTCGATCCGCTGCATGTACTTTTGGCTTTGTGGCAAAATTTAGATGGGAGCATCTGCAGAAGCAGTTCCTGTCTTGCTTTTCTATCGAATAAACTCAAGGTAGCGCTGTAAATAAATAAATAAATAAATAAATAAATAAATAAATAAATAAATAAATAAAGTGCCAATACAGAAGAAGAAACGGGGCTTTCTTTCATTTAGACGTCCCATTTCCCCTCTTCTCAACAGGCTCAGCACCTGTGCTCTTAAGACACAGAAGTGAAACTGGAGTGTCACCATTTTGTGTAAGCAGCAGTGCGGAGTGGAATCCCAGTGCACAACAAACACCTCATGCAGAGAAGCTTCTTTGTTCTCGAACAACAGGCAACCAATTCAGTCGCTTGAGCTTGCTTTAAGACTAACGCACGGCAGCTTAGCCTTCCTCAAGCCGATCTCCTCTGGATGGTGTTGACTATAGCCTACAGCGTTCTGGACTATTGGACCTACCGGCAGGGGCTGCTGGAAGTTGAAATCTGGCATGTGCTGGTGAGCAAAGGTGCCCCTAACTTGCTCTAGTGAATCGTATTGAAAATCACGGTCACCCAAGGCAGGAAGGGCACTGCTTTCAAAAACTGGGCATCCCACTGAAGTGAGAGGACCCCGCGAGGGCTTGGTTCTCCCGTGCGGAACAGTCAGCCTAGTCGCCCTCGGAACCTCACTGCCTTTGTCTAACCAGCCCACTTCAAAGGGCGCTTGCAAAACTAGACTGAGAGGAAATTTGGGCAAAGAACTTGGATACCTTACTTTTGTTCTCGGCCCCCCAAAGAAGGAGGGACAGGTGGGGAAGCCCTAGCAGAGCACAGGTAGAACCGGAGCCATACCTGGGGTGGGACCTGGAGCAGTGATAAATGGCCCTTAACGTGTGCTTTTCCCCTGTTCTCATCACTCACCCCATGACATCGGTCGCTGTTCTTCACATTTTGCAGACGGGAAACTGAGGCTCAGAGAGAGGTGCAGCGGGGAGGCATGCCTAAGCCCACATACAGTTAAGAATATTTCTCTTCACCCCTTTCAGCTGCTAATTTGCACATCTCTCCACCCTGGAAGCATTAAAGTGGATTTTAAGTGGATGCTTGCCAAAACACAGGGGGCCAAGACCAAACGTGGGGAGATGGAAAAGCAGGAATATGGGGTGGCAGGAAGCAAAGGGGGCACGGAATGCAGTTCAGCAGGCAGGTTTTTTATATGAACAATTGCAAGTAGCCGTGGCTTCTTGAGGACCAGCATGTTTATTATGACATGGGTTTTAATGGACATCCACCAGCCTCAGCAGACACTTTAAATTTTGTGTGTGTGTGCGTGTGTGTGCATGAGAGAGAGAGAGAGAGCGAGCGCAAGCGGGGGAGCAGTCCCTCTTCCGCTTGTTCTGGGGGCTGTGTGAATTTATTCCAAAATTGAAGCCTGCTGCAATCTTAATAAGGCACAGCCAGGGAGAGAGATTCACAAGATTATCTAGATATGTATAATTATGGTCCGGGCCTTTGCTCAGCAAGCACCAGCCCCATGGCTCTACTGTGGAGGAGAGGCGCTGTCCGATCGTCCCCGCCATCTCACGGGCACGGAGCAGCGTGTCCCGCTGCCTCGGCCGGCCATTGCCTATGAAACCGAATGCTTCCCCAGCCTGGTGCCCCCCCGGGGCTGTGGACTACAGCTCCCAGTACACTTGCCCAGTGCAGCTGATGGGGATTGAAGTCCCTCTGTGGGGGAGGCACCACACTGGGGGAGGCTGCCTGAGAACATGCAGGTTCTCTCTCTCTCTCTCTCCAGATTATGCAATCAGAAGATGCAGTTCACGAGTGCAAATTTGTCTGCCTTGTGACCCTGAAATTGTCCGGAAGCTGGGGCCAGGTTGCCCTTCCAGAAAATGACGTTCTTATTACGGGAGCAAGGGTTTCTTCAAGCAACCTTCCTCAACTTGGTTCCCTGACAATTCGTTGGGCTACAACTTCTATCTCCCCCGGCAGCTCTGCCAGATCAGGTCTGGAGAAGTCCCGTTGCAGATCTGTGGGGGGCCTTCAGCTGGAGGCTCCCCTTTGACCTCCCCCACCTCAAAATGTCCTCAGGAGGATAAAGTGGAAGAGGGATGAAGGCCGGATAAAACTGCAGCTCAATTTATGGGGATCAACTGGTCCCTGGCAGGCTGGGCTGTAATGTAAGATCACGGGTTGCTGAAAAGGGCAGAAGGACAACAGGAACAGCCTTCTCACTGCCGGTCGGAGAGGTTGCAGCGCATCGAATGGGCTGGGCTTGGCGAGGGGCAGCTGCTC